GAATCTGAACTATTTAACAAATTACAGTAGAATGTTGCCAACATTTAGAAAATAAGAGGGTTTCGTGAAATTCCCAGTGGATTTCAAATAAATTACCTACATTTAGGCGCAACTGTACATTTTCAGATTTTTTTTTATTTCTGCTGAAAATACACTTCGTACAATGCACTATGGGGAAAGTGGTGGCCAAAAATCGAAAAATTGACTTGCTTTGAATGACATATCTTGTAAACCATTTGATAGCCAGATAGTTCAAACCTAGATGCCCAAAATTTCAGCCCTCTGTGATGAACACTTATTGCGCCGCAGACATCAGACTTAGGAAAATTTTGAAAATTGTAGAAAAAATGCATTTGAAACAAATGCAATTTTCTCAGCGAATAACGGTCTAAACATTGAATTTAATACACCGTTGGAAAGCTAATTGTCTAAACTTTAAAATGGGTATGTTGATAAGGTTACACGGTTAATTAAAATTGGTTAAAAATAGGCAATTATTGAAAAAAAATGTTTTTTTGAATAAGTTGGACTATATCTAACGAGCAGAGCCGAGCAGTCTCAAGAGACCACCACTACGTTTTAGTTTAGGGTCTATACTATCTGCGGAACAAGGATCCAGCTGCGTATAGCTGCGTATGAGCGTCATTTTGGCACAAAGTCGTAAAAATGATTTTTTAAATGTTTTTTTTTGTTAATTACATGTATCGATTATACGAGCATTAACAAAAAAAAATCGTACAAATTAAACACTGGTTGAAAAGTGGAACTGTTAAATGTCAAATTTGGTCTTAAAAATGTTACACACTTAATTATTATTGTTGTTAAAAATGGGTAAAAACAGACATATAGAAGCCGTATCTACCCAACTGGACTAAAAAGTTTTCAATGTTTTCACGATAACCTTTTGATATTTTCAATACATAATAACCAACGGAAAAAGAAAGACCACTACCAAAAGGAAATTACCTGTTCGAGTGCCATTTTACAATTTCTACCCATTAAACTTAGGTAAAACTATTATTGATGTTACCTACTTGCATTTAAAAGACGAGGACAATATTTTCAAATCATGAGTTTGTTTTCGGCTTTAACGCTAACAACGTGTGTGTGCTAACAACAATATTGTGCAGTAGTTTAATCGAAAATCTGAAAACAATTGTTTGTGATAATATGGATCATAGGAGCATCGTGTTACTTTTTGATCCAAAAGAATCTCAAGTAGTCGATGCAACAAAAGCATTTGAATATATCAAGAAAAAATATAATATTGATCTTGCCAAAGAAGAACAACTTCTTAAAAAGTTGAAGTACGTAGCACAACATTTTTACAATGCGTGGCAAAAGGCTCACCGCCTACAAGAGCGCTTTGAGAAATACAATAAGGATTGGCTCGATAGTCATTTGGAACTTGCAGAGTACATCGCAGAAACACCTTCAACGTTGAAAAACGTTCAAACCGATGAAATATTTGGCGGTAATGTTGGCACTATAGAAAGGGCTCTTTTACTCACAAGACAAATTGCGTATAGACATGGGGATTCAAATCAAATATGGTGAATTTGATTGGCCATGTTCTCAAAAATCGAGAAAGTGCATTTAAAATGTTTACGACTCTCAAAGATTCGCATGGAATGATGTCACCTGAAGAGGCGTTCGAATATTTTTTAGACTGCGATTTTTCTAAATATGCATATGAGCAAACAGTGAAAAAGAACCCATCAAGATTTCCGAGCTACAATGTAATTAAGAGTATGAAAAAAGTATGCTCACCTTCAGCCGAGTCAATCGAAGAGTCATCATCAAAAATTCAGGTAGACTTAAATATCCACATATTTTTCCAGTACACCAACTTTAAATGTTTCTTTCTTTTCAGGTCAAATTACAGGCACTCGTGAATCATACAACAGAAAGAATCATTCAAATCATCGATGCGGAAATCGTCCAACAAATGAATATCAACGATGACACAGAGCTAGTGCTTGTAAGCAGCTGGGGTATGGATGGCTCAACAGGCTATTCACAATACAACCAAGCGCTATCAACGCCAAATCAAAAAGATGACAGTGACGTCTTTTCAGTGACAGCTACTCCTGTACAACTTTATTATAAGAACAACAAGAAAAACATTTTGTGGCATAATTTAACACCCCAAAGCATTCGGTTCTGTAGGCCAATTATGCTGGAATTTATCAAAGAGTCAAAAGAGATGGTGCTTAACACCAAGAGATATATTGAAAATCAAATAAGTCAGCTTGTTCCAGTAAAAATCCAATTATCGAATGGTGAATATGTTTTGGTTGATTTTATTTTCGTTATGAGTATGATCGACGGCAAAGTTCTTAATTATGTAACTGATACTTCTTCCATGTCCAACTCTCCAATTTGTGGAGCTACTCCGAATGCAATGAGTGATATAGAGGTAATATTTTTTTTTCAAATTTTAAGGGCCATAAAAATAACAATGTTTTTTTTTTTATACTTTACAGAAGTTTGAAGCAGGATACGATTCGAACGAAGATGCTCTGCATTACGGCATATCTCCACGGCACGCTTGGATGCGATTTTTTGAGTGTTTATTACATATTTCCTATAGGATGGAAATTAAAACGTGGAAGATCACGAAGGATTTAAAGGCCAAATATCTTGAACGGAAAAAAACTCGTTACTCAAAAAATGTACGAAGCGTTCGGAGTACGAGTTGATCAACCCAGGGCAGGCGGAGCTGGGATCAGTACAACAGGAAATGTGTGTCGAAAAGCATTTTCAACTCCTGAATTACTTTCTAAAGTTTTGGATATCGACGAAGAGCTTATTATTAGATTTCGTAATATTTTAATAGTAATCAATTGCCAAGACCCGATCAATCCTAAAAAAATGGATGACTATTGTAAGGAAACTTATCGGCGGTATCTTAATTTGTATGATTGGTATAAAATTCCAGCAACAGTGCATAAAGTACTCGCTCACGCTGGAAGCATAATAATCCATTCACCTGCTCCTCTTGGCATGTTAGCTGAGGAAGCAGCAGAGTGCCAACATAAACTACTAAAAAATGTCGCACCCATCATGCTAGGAAAAGGTCACGAGTTGATAATCTACATGACGTCTTTATTCGAGCTATGAACTCATCTGATCCTTTGATAAGTTCAATAAATCTAGGTAATAGAATCCGAAAGCAGGTATTACTTGAATATCCAGATGTTGTGAAATCACTTTTAGTATTCGAAGATCTTGACAGCTCTGAAAATATAAACACTGAAGGCAATGCACTAGATGCATTAATGGATGATTTTGAACAACTGGATGATGATTTTGGTCTTGATGAAAATGTAGAAAATGAGTAGAATTGCTTGTGAATTTAATTTAGTTTTAAGAGAAAGTTATTAAATAAATTTTATTATGACAATTAGTGAAAGAAAATTATGTTTTATTTTGTAGTATATTTATCCCTGCAGTATAAAAAATGTAGTTCAACTTAGTTAACGATGTTGATATGTGTTCAGTAAAAATAATGGAAACATAGTAAAAAAAATAATCCTTTCGACTAGCTTTAATGATTTATTTCTCGCCTTGAGTATCATAACGGCATAACTGCATTGATCGATTTGTCTTCATCGATTTTCTCTTTTGTTAATAACTTGACCAAATCGAAGCCGATCGACGTGATTTTTTTACTGACGGAAAAGGATCATAACCAGTGCTGCAAAATTTCGACACTAAAAACTGATAATAACAAAACAACCCTGGTCACTCATTTCAGCAGAGAGTCACCATCAGTAGCAATCAATATCAATTGTCAGTGATATTACTATCAGTGACGACGATGTGCAGTTTTTTCATTTGCTGAATTACTATCGAAATCAAATTAATTTAGCAAAACAGTTACATAGAACCATCAAAGTGAATACGAATCATCATCATTATCAGCCTGGAGAACAATAATGTGACACAGAATGCGCAAATTCACAGTTTTTTCACCAAGGGAATCTTTGTCACTGACAAAGAAAAGAGTGAGATTTTGACAAAGAAAATTTTGATTTTCAGTTCTATCAGTGTTGCTGCTGAAATGAATTTTGTCTATATCCACTGAAGTTTTCTCAATGAAAATGACAAATCGCAGCACTGATCATAACATCTTGCCACAGTCCAAAAATTGCGTCGATCGGTTTCGGTTTGGCCAAGTTATTAACGAAAGAGAAAATCGATCAATGCAGATACGCCCTTATGATGCTAAAGGCGAGATTTGGACGGAAAAAATATTTTCAGTAGAAGGGAGGTTCGATAGACAAATAATTCTTCATCAAAATACCTGATTGGTAAAACAATACTCTTATATCACATATATAAAAAAATGGGGGAGGGGTCAGGTCTTGGCTAGGAGGGGGGGGGTTCCACCTCCACCTTTCCTATTTAATCTTATGCACAGCAACCTTATTCTACTTTGATTTGCATTTGAACTGTCCCTAAAATTAAAAACAAACTTTCAAGTTTATTGTTCAGGAATAAGTAGCTCATTACTGGGTTTAATACTAGTTACACCTTCCGGATGCGATGAAAATTCATAAATATGACTAATTTTATGCTTAACTTACTATAATACCATCAAAAAGTGCGGAAAAACCAATAAAATATTTTTGGCCACCACTTTGTATGGAGCCGCCCCATAGTTCAATGATGGGAAATTTATTTTTTATTTATATATTTACGTTAATATGTGTAGTTGAAGATGCTAATTTCAAATAACAGACTTAAGTGGTAATTTTTATACGATAGATGAGGAGATGAAAGTATAGAGTTGATAGTTCCGTTAGAGTACGGCAGTGTGAAAATTGTATATAGAGAGTAGGAAGCGAGCAAGGACAACTTTGAGGAAGGTACAAATCGGGTTGATCATCTCTCTTTACCAAACTCCCGCGTTGGAGAGGAGGGATGGTGAATTTTTAAGACCGATGTTGATTTAGTGTTGCAGGCTGTCATCATATGTAATAGGAAACTTCAACTTTGATATTTAAGACCTTTATTATTTATCAATATCCATTGAATTGTAGTAGAAAGACTAAAAAGGAAAAACAAACTTGAAATGTTTAGATTAGATCACATCTTGTACTGCGAATTGGTAAAAATGATACTATTTGTTAACAATATAGTACGTCGTCGGTAATAATTGCCTACGTTCATAATTGGTAGTCGATAACTTTGAGCAACTTTTTTTTTTCTGCACCATTCTATTCAACTAGAACAGTGTTCGACATTAGTTTAAAAGGTGTTTCTACTTAATTAACAATTGACTAACGGTAAAATTTCAACTATTCTACGATTTATACAATTAGAAAATGGTAAGCGGTTGTCTCTCTTTCTCTCTCAGTATCGCTCTGTAATTGTGGCATGTCTTTTGCATCTGGTCAGGTGTACTGAACCCCGGCGGAGCATCCATGAGTCATCCTGAACTCAACATATTTCATACCTAGAAAGGGCGGTTGGGGTTGGTTTGGATCATTCAAATATCTGTTTTAAATTCTAAGTCTACATGTTGCGAGAAGTGATTTGATGGAAAGAAAAGAACAAAATTAGAACAACACATTCAAAGTAGATGGAGAGCGATGAACAGGTTCAAATTCAAGATATCGCTGACCGTAGAACGAATGGATATTCATACACCAACCTGTACGATGTTAGCTGGTTCTATGCACGTATTGCATTATATGTTTAATGGTCTTACCGTCATTCTATATTTGACATCGCTTTGATACATTTGTTGTTATTTTTTTACATGACTCAGCACATTATTTATAAAAATTACTCAGGTTAATTAGATCAATAATACGTTGTAAATAATGTGACTTTGGTTGGATGTTACTTTATATACAACAAAACAAACATGCAGTATTATATTCATGCGGTATGGATCATTATTCAATTATCATTTTGCCTTATTGAAAAATGAAACATGTATAAAAAGAACAGTTTAACACTCACTAAACTCCTTTTATAGGGCATAGTTTAGACGTTTAAAAAATCAAACGCACTGCTAAATTTTACTTTCATTCCGTGTTTTTGAAAGCAAAACTAGCAATTGTATCGACGATAGAATGAAACAATTTTAAGAGGTTGGTGCATAAATCTCCACAAAATTAAACATTCAATCATAGAGTGTTGATACTCTACCTCTGACTAAGAAACAGTGTTGTGTCTTATGACCCTTGCTGTGTGTTGAACCTAAACCCTGTCAGTTCTAGTGTTTGATTTTTCTTTCTGGTTAGATCCTATTACTTCCACTAGTTATTTTTGACCGATATTGTTAAACGAAAAATATGCACTTGATTTTATATTGCTTTTCACCGTACCCTGAATAAACAAAAATAAACTACATACATACAATGTATGCAATTAACGTAAAAAAAAAGCAAAAACATAAGATATTTAAAATGGAATCGATAAATTTAACTGTTTTTTTAGTCTTATTTACAATCGGTAACATTTATCTCTATCTTCTACGCATCCGTTATCAATCATGAAAAATGCAAAGGCCAAACCTGCGGAAAAGAAAGGAATTGTGTATCGGTCTCAGATATATGTATTGTTTAGCAAATTTTCTACGGATTTAGCAGATTGGAGGGTACACTGTAGCACTACTAGTTGGTGGTGGTGTGAGTATATAGATTTGTAGCCTTTGTACTGTTTTGTGCTTTTTTATGTATTGATTTAATCGTAGGAAAATATTATTTAAAACAAGAAAATACATTTTAATATGTAAACAGAAACTTTTAACATGTACTTATGAAACGGGAAATTATCGGTGGTTTTGGTGGTTAGTAAATGTTAACACGTAGCATAGGAGTTTATTGGTTATGCGGTAGAATTTATCATCATTTTCAGTATGTTTCTACGTTGAATTTAGTTGATTCGTTCAAATGATTGTCCATGATAACGAGTAATTCCAGGCCAAACCTTCTTGAAAGGGCAACCATTTTTTTGGCCCTCGCCGGTTTGGATGAAATATTTCACATGTCTTCAGTATGGGAGATCATGCGTTTTCCACAGGTCAAGGTGAAGAGGCCATTTTGACTCAAAATGGTGTATGTGTTTTCACATATGGGTCATTCCATCTCAAATCCAGAAAAATCCAAAGTGCTAAAGCCAATCGGCCCTTTTTTGTCGTTGAAAACATTGAATGATTTTTTTTTTAAAGTCGTCCAATAGATTCTTATTTTGGATGTTTAGCTTGTTTGTGATCCAAAACATTCGAGAGCTATTGATTGAATCCAAATAACTGATAACATCAAAAGATATATTCGACAAATCGATACAGAAGTTGTACCATACTCTTTTTGACATATCATGACAAAGCCGTATTGAAATGTTCATTATTTTTTTCTATAAGGAAGAGTAGTTTAGCGTCAAATTGTACCCATGACAGCCGGAAACGAAAAATCTCAATTTTTGTTTTCACCCGTTAGTTTGTCACGGCCAACTTTATAATAAAAAGCTTTGTTTACGAAAAAAAAACCTGAGATACGTCAGAATTAATCCAGCTTAGTTTTGCAGTCTTTACTATCGAGTAGAATATGGCGCGTTCAATTAGATTGTGCATAAAAAGAAAATATACCGTCGAAAAACTACATAGGTCCTCGTGGCACTTCTCATCTCGGGAATGGAACCTGTTCAAACTTCGGTCCGGTGTTTTCTGTTTGAAAACTGCGTGTGAAAGGCATGCAAATCAGTTTGGTCGATTTTATGCAGCTAAGCAAAAACAATGCAGCAATCCTTTGCCAATATTCTGCGAAAAAAATTGAAGACTATTTCGACGAAATATCACGAGGATGTGATTGAAGGTCGCAAAATCTGCGTTCAGTTTGATAGAGCAGTTAGAGAAAATTTTGCGAAATTATCTTTGCTGGATGAATCGTCGAACAAGGAAACTCATGCTGAAAACGGTAAGCTTTTTAAGAGTAGTGAAATTATTTCACTTTCACTATAACTGCAAAACATCTTATTTTTACGGTATATACTATGGAGATGCCTAGTCCAGCTGAATTCCGATGCACCCGGTAATATAATATTTCAAAAGGGAGTCCATATAATATAGGGTGTCCCAGAATATCTACTTCATTCCTTTATTTAACGGTCTCTGTTCCGCATTCTAGTGCCAATCACCGACGAACATCGATTGCCATCCATTGACTGCAATCGAATGTGCAGGAAGGCAGCTTCCACACCCGCGTGATTGATAATCCACAGACGAGTTTGAGTTCTCCGAGCGATTAGTGCGGAACATGAAAAAATACGTTGAGGAGAAAGGTAGTCTCTGTTCACCCTATCCAAAAAAGGCCATTCTTTTTCAGAAAACGTCGTCCGGAAGGTTTTAGCATTTTACCGTGACGCTGACGGGGGTGTTCTCGTGTGCTGAAGCAAAAGCGGTTAGTCTCAGCGAAACTTTCAATCGTTAAAGAAAATATTCCTTCAATTAACATTGGGTTTTCACAGTTTACTGAGCTGCGACCAACTAAGTGATTCCAAAATTTTAAGTTTAAATTTTTGGGTGCAATATTTTACCAAATTGAAGTGGAAGTAGGAGGTGTAAAAGCGTTCTATTTGTACAGAGACGTGCTGAAGCAGAACCTCTGGGATCCAGCTATGGAGGCGTGCTTTATGAATACTTGTTCCAACACAGCTTGTGCCAATTTGGATTCGATTAGAAGCAATGGACGCAGTAAGAACGGTGTAACTTGGAAACGAAAGTTACACACTTAGAAATACCTAATCTTACACGTGACGGAATCCATCTTTGACATAAAGGATGAGACGTAAACAAACATGGCATGTAAAATTAAGTGCTGCAAGACTGAAAAATTAGTAAGTACGTTTGATTGAGCTGAATTTCGCGTCTTTTATGACTCAATTTTATGTAAAAATTGACGCTCGTATATGTCAGTCTCAGAGCACCTAAATTTACATAAATTTTTCTAAGTGTGTAGTGATGCTGAAACTTTTGTTGAAACATTTATAGAAGCAATACCAGATGTTCGGAAACACGATTACATAAATAGTAGCAAGGTAAGCAGAGTTCTATCAGTTTACTCGGGACAACTTGCACGAAGGAGAAGTTCTTGTTACTGACTTTTCCGAAAATTATTCGTTTGTGTTTGCCGCCTATTTCTTGGAGCGAGGAAGGGTTGTTCCTTTAAACTGTATCATAATCTATGACGTCCTTGAACATAGGACATCTATCTTCCACGCTTTCCAGAGGCAGTTCGTAGAGTTTCTGAAATCTCGGCTCCCAAAATAAACGAAAATTATACAAATTTCTGACGGTGCTGGTTCACAGTATAAAAACCGATTCAATGTGATAAACTTGCTCTTCCATGAAGAAGGCTTCGGGATTCCAGTTGAGTGGCACTATTTTGCAATGGTACACGGTAAAGGCCCAAGCGACGGATTAGGTAGTACCTTGAAAAGGTTGGCGACAAGAGCCAGTCTGCAGGGCACAACTATACAAACGCCAAAAGAATTGTGCGCATGGGCACTTTCAAATTGTAACCTGATTGTCCAATTTGTAACACCAGAGCAATGTAGTGAAGGAAAAAACGATTTAGAAACCAGATTCGGTTTGGCACAATCCATTCCTGGAATTCGCACGATCATTCAGCAACTCCTACAACCGATGGAACGGTTTTTATGAAAACGGTTTCATGTTCAGTAACGGGTTCAAATTACAAAGTAATTTCAAGACCTAGCCAAAATTCATCACGTAAGCCGAAGAATAAACGTATGTATGTATTTATGTTGCCCATCAATAAACGGTCGTATGTAACAGATGTACTCTGTCCAATAAATGATAGAAAACATCAACATTTTTTTTTAACGAAACCATTTGGAACTATGAATTTTGTTTTGAAATTTGTTGTCTTAAAAATTCAATACTTTCCAAATGACAACTGTCGTTTTCTGTCGATAAGTGAGTCATATGTAGAATAGTCTACTATTCATTTGGGTGTCGTTGAAATAAAAAAAAAGTAGGGGCATTTGGGAAATTTGCAAAAAACGCAAAGTTGGCAACACTGGAGAACAATTCACATTTTTGCATTCGGTTTGATCGAAAGTTGAAAGGTTCAGATTTTTAGTAAAGCTACAGATTTCGTCGTTTTTACCAGCTTTCATGAAGAGACCAATTTCTATATCGAAGCATTCACACTTAAACAGAGACCCTGAGTTCAAAAAAAAAAGGTGAAATTATAGAGACTGTTGATGAGCGAATCGTTTTCAAATGCCAAAATTGCAAAGTTAGCAACACTGGAGAAAAAATCTGATCAAACCATTCGATTGTACGTCCAAAATCCTTACTAAAACGGTATCGAATGCCGTCTATATCTATAATGGTTGCCGAGATACATAACATTGAAAACTGGTGTTTATTAGAAATCGGCAGAAAAGGGGATGGTCTTCAGCGCCGACTGGCTTAAGACTTTGCATTTTTAAATATTGGTCCATAATAAGTTTCAGGGTGGTCAGCGAACCGGGAAAACCGGGAATACCGGGAAATATCCGGGAATTTGAAAAATAATCGGGACAAACCCGGGAATTCGACGAGAGAACCGGGAAAAATAAATTTACCATACCATAGGAACAAATATTTATATCAGAATAAACCATTGAAACAGAGTGATTCTTTACCAAATGAATGTCTAGCTCTATTTCATAATGTTCTTCAGTTTCCCGTCTTATTGTTTTTTACAATTTAATCACTCAGCAATATTTCAAATTGATTTTTGTCGTTTCAATTTCAGATGTAAAAGTGCATGGGCATTAACTATTCTTTTCCAAGGTTTTAATTTTTCGTTTTAAATTCGAAATCAAAATAACCATGCTATTTTATTCAAAATTCTCATGATATGAATTCCAGAATCAACTTGAAATTCTGCTCTGAAACATCATTATTTTTTTCTGAAATTAACCAGAAAACACTCCGCTTAATAATTACCGTTGAATTCTTTTTGGAATTTTCTTGAAAATTCTCAAAAGTTTATTTTAACTCTATTCAAAACAGCAGAAATCTTTCGAAATTTTATTTTGAAACCCCTTGGAGTATTTTAAAGAATTTATTTCTAACTATCAGCATTTTTTTAAATCAATTTTGTTGGAGCTTTGTGATGAATTTGTCGCACAAGGGTTGAAATTATCCCTCATAGTCACGTAGCAAAATTACCTAAGAAAGCCTTTCAAATTCATCTAACAATTTCTAAGGACTTCATGTCCGAATAATTCTGGAATTCTGGTCAGAACTTCAGCTTGGAAAATTATGAAATCAACACTTTGACTACTTTTAAATTTTACTAAAAATTCCAGGGTTTGTCCGCAAGATTCTAAAGATTGTTCTTTTATTTGTTATAACCCTTTAAATGCTTCCTAGTCTCAGAGCCTTGACAATTATGACTGCAATTAGATATATTTCTCCAAATCTGGCATCACGGAAATTTTAAAGAAAAGTTCTAGTTTCAGACTCTACACAATTGTTAAAGCCCCAGAATCTAGAGAA